TGCCTGCGGGAACGCGGCTGCGGGACCCCTGCCCGGGCCCCCGCCCTCGCCCCCTCCCTGCCCAGAGGGCTCCGCGAGCACGGGCCTGGGGGCTTCGCCGCGCCCCGGTGTGGTGGGGGCGGTGCGGGGACAGGCGCCGCCCAGACCCGCGTCCGCGGCGGCTGGAGTGTCAGCCCCGGGCACGGCCCCGGACCCCCGCTTCCGTCCGCCCGTCAGTCCGCGGGCTCCGTTGACTCTCGCTCCCGAGCCTAGCTGCCCATCTTGCACATCCTGCTGCGCGGGGCGCTCGCGCTCGGCCGCATCTTCGCCCGCATCTTCGCCCGCCCGACCGCCAGCAGCCTTCTCTCCACACTGCAGCCGCGGTGCAGTTTTAAAGCTAACCGGACCGTGTCACGCCCCTGCCGGAAATCTCGCCAGTGGCGGCTTGTTGCTTTCCGAGAACGTCAGAATAATCTAGTCGCCTCATGCCCCTCTCCCCGAACCACTCCGACCCAACGGAATTACCTGCAGCTTTCTCACCTCTGGGCCTTTGCACTTGGAACGCTCCTCCCTCTGTCCCACTGCCATCTTCGTACATTGGTCACCTTAGATCTCCTTTCCTCCAGAAGGCTGTTTCTGAATCCTCAGACGGCTGAACGGCCGTCCACGTGGTTTTATATTGTATTCTGTGTTTCCAGAAGACCAGGCTTAGGAGGTGATCCTTAGGGAAGCTTTTCAAGGGCGGCCTTGTCTTAGCACATAGCGTGTTATTTGCTGGTGGGTTTGTTGACTGTTTCTCGCTAGATGTTAGTCCCGTTAGGGTAGAGAGAGCATCGTGTTTATTATATCCGTGCGGCACCAAGAGCAGGACAGAATCTGTGAATTGTGGCATGTGGGAGCCCGTGGAAGACCCGATTAACCCCTGGGGTCGGAATGGTAAGAATTGGCCGTGCAGAGATGAAGGAAGGTTTGAGCTGAGCCTCGACAGCGTTTAGCGAGAGGGCACCTGAGTGCCTGTGCCCAGGTGGAGGGGTAGCAGTGAGGACGAATCGGGAAGCAGCTAGTATTGTGGGCTGGGAGGACAGCACACTCCAGGACAGGGCCCCACACAGAAGGCCAGCGACTTCTCCAGGTGCCGGGGCTTGTAGTCGGGCTGTGCTCAAACCCAGTTCTTCAGCCCCTGCCCCCCGCTGATGATGCCCCATGCAGGCAACAGGGAAACCTCAGATTAGCCTGGGTTCCCTGAAGGCAGTGCCCACGGCAGCTTGGAGGGTTGCGCGATGGGTTTTAGAGAATGAGAGTATGTTCCTGTGACTCATTGGTTCTTGTCGTCCGTGTGCTCCGCGGCCGTGTCCTCGTAGCCTGTGCACACGGGGCGGACCCTCATCACCTCAGTTGCCGACATCCTTTCTTGCAGAATTACCCTCTTTACATCCGCAGCGCCCCCACAGAGAATGAGCTGAAGTTCCACTACATGGTGCACACGTCCCTGGACGTGGTGGATGAGAAGATCTCCGCGATGGGGAAGGCCTTGGTGGACCAGAGGGAGCTCTACCTGGGCCTGCTGTACCCCACAGAGGACTACAAGGTGTATCCTTCACACCTGGCGGGGGCTGGTCCCGTGGGCGGTCTCCCTACGGGGGCTTCGCATCCAGAGATCCCGCCTCCGGCTTCCAGGTGTAACTGTGGGATCAGGTGATCTCGAAAGACATCTTGGAATATCACTTGGAAAGAAAGCGAGAGCTCTCAACCAGCAGAGAATTAGGGCAGCTTGAGGCTAATTGGGGCTTCACACCCTTTTTTACGTTAATTAGGAGGGTCATGCGGGAAGAGCTGGGCATGGATTCCCTGGAACTGTGTGGCAGTCTGCACCTGCCCTTTGTCCGGTTTGCAGAAGCAGCAGGAACCCTCTTGCTTAGCGCCTGTGAGGACTGCCTCCCGTGCCGTCTCAGTGGGGCCAGTGCTCCTGAGCAAGGATAGCAATTCTAGATTTGTCACCAGGCCCAGCCCCACGAGTCACCGTAAAGTTTTGACTAGTCCCTGGGGACAAACAGCATGACATCCGTGGAGTTCAGAGGTCGTTCCACGAGCAGTGCTATAGCTTGCCCTCGATGACATCTGCCCGGGAGCCACCGTCCCACCAGGGGAAGTGGCCCGTCGCGGTGAGGGTGCCTTAGGCAGGGTCTGCCTGGTTCTTGGGCTTCTGCACTGGCAGTTAGCACTGCTGGGCCAGGAAGTGATGGAGAACGAAGTTGAGGTGCCCCAGGGTGTGGGCAGGGGGCCCCCCCGGAGCTCCGATCGGGAGAAGACTTAGCTGCCCGTCCTTCTCCTGTCAACACCAGAAGCTGCCCCAGGGAAGTGTGCAGTGCCCCCGGCATGGTCCGTGTGGTCCTTTCCCGCTGTTGTGGGGCAGGTCCGGTCCGGGGTCCTTCTCGATGCAAGGTGGTGATATTTTGCCAAAGTGGCTTCGGAGCCGAGGGACGCGCACAGCTGGCCCTCTGCACACACGCCGTCCACGGTGGTGCCGTTTTTCGTGCCGTCACAGAGTCTCTGTATTGAAAGAGTGTTCCCTAACCCGCCGTGCAGATACGGCTACGTGACCAACTCCAAGGTGAAGTTCGTCATGGTGGTGGACTCCTCCAACACGGCGCTTCGAGACAACGAGATCCGCAGTGTAAGTGCGCGGCGTCTCAGGATGTTCCTGGGCTCGTGCGTTTTCTCTCTTTCGCTTTGTTTCCAAATGCCGAGAAGCCAGAATTTCGGCAGCCGCGGCGTGTGCACGTGAATTAACACCATCGATTCCTTCTCAGATGTTCCGGAAGCTGCACAATTCCTATACAGATGTGATGTGCAACCCTTTCTACAACCCTGGGGACCGTATTCAGTCCAGGTGAGCTGACTGCCGTGTGGACGCTGCCTTGCGAAAAGCTGCGATTCTGAACGTGAGGGAGGGAAGGTCGATTTCAGCCACGGGCCTTGTTCCTCCGAGGAGTGGTTCTGACGCAGCAGAACCTGGTTTTCCAGTAATCACCATGTGGATTCCGACACGTGAGAAGAGGATGGGGGAGCAGGCCAGGGCACGGACCCTGCCCTCTTGGTTTCCCGCGTATGCCCAGTAAGTCCTGGGGCACCTCCGCGGAACCCACACGCAAAGACTTGGTCTTCGATGTCAAACTGGGACGGTTAGGAGATGGGGTCGCAGGTACGATCCACACAGGTCTCAAGGCGATGCAGATGGGACATCAGCACGTCGCAAAGATGCTTTATAAAGAAGCATTCACATGCACACATTCCAGATCCACCCCTGGGAATTCCCTGCGTTCCTCGACGCGGTTCCTGGGGGGCTCCTCGTAGCCGTCAGGCGAGAGGACCCTGCAGAGACCCAAGCCGGGCCCTTCCCGTGGTGCCTCCCCTCAGCCCCGACACTGTGTCTCCCGGGCTGTGCGGGACAGGGACCACCGTTAGCTGTCCTTGCTGTACCGCAGCCCCGCACCCCTTCCTGGAGCCCCAGCCAGGGCAGGGCCGTGAGGCAGGAGGAGGTGGGAGACTTCGGTTCTCATCGCCTGGCCTCGAGGCCGCGTTCACCGGACTTTGGAGGACTTCTCCGGTCCGGGGGTGCAGAGCCCGGTCCGCTTCTCCGAATCGGTCTGTGTTTCTTTGCAGGGCCTTTGACAGCACGGTGACGTCTATGATGATACAAGTGTGTTGAGCCAGAACTCAGCGGCCGTTGCTCGAAGACAAGCGCTGTGTATATAAGCCATCGTCCAGATGGATGTTTATCATCCCGTGCCTGTTCCTGAGCGTCCCTGCCGCTGGGGGCAAGGCCTCGGGCACGGTGCGTGGAGACTAAAGGTCTTCTGAGATCACGTTTGGTGTTTTCCTTGTGTCAGCAGAGGCTCCGACGGAAGAGCGTGTCGCGCGCGGCACTTTTGAGGCTGGCGCAGAGGTCAGGGACCAGAGCGGGGACAAGGGGCGGGGAGAGCGGGTGAGGGAGCCCACGGACCTTGGGGCCCTGCGGGGGCTGCAGCTGTGGGGCAGCAGAGACGGGAGCGACTCGTGGCCGGCCTCCGCTGGCTGACCGGGTGGGGTGGTCTGTGGGGGCAGGCCTCCTGTGCCCGGGGCCAGCTCTAGAGGGGCTCCTGGAGAGCCCACACACCCTCCCCTGCCTTCATCTTTCTGGACTCGTGCCTGGCCTCAGGAGGGAGCTGCTCTCAGCTCGTCAACTGCCGCCTGCTTTCTGAGCACCGAGTGAGCGAGTCCGTGAGCCTCCCCCTGGGGGAGCGTGTGGCGGTCCCTAACGGTTGGCGGAGCCCCTGGTCACCTGCTGCCTCCGCAGGCCCCTGAGCAAGCCGGGGGGAGGGGGTATGCTTGAGGAGCAACCGATGTGATCGGGTTTCTGCCACGTGCTCCCCCAGAAGCCTGCTCTGTCAAGTCCAGATGGCAGTCCTAACTGGTTGACTGTGACTGAGGGGACATTGCCATCCGGGATCAGGCGGCCCCGGCCCTGGCACCCTTCGTCATCTGGCAACAAGGACCCGCGGGGTCTGAGCCCCACCGCACGGTCTGCTCTGTGCTGTCGTCAGTGCCCTGGCTTCGAGCCGGGTGCCCCGGGCCAGCCGTGATCCCTCCCTCCCTCCTCAGTCGCTCCGGAGAAGGGGTCTGACGAGGAGCAGGGCCACCCGGACCCCCTGGGGAATGGCGGAGGCCGTTAGCACCGGGATGGGACCCGGAGGTGAGCCTTCCCTTCTAAGGAACGCGGGACTCGTTTTTCAAATTACAGAAGTAGAGGGAAAAAAGTCAACGAGTATGTATTAAAAACACAAGTGCCAGCCCAGCACCTTCCGCTGCAGGTGGAACCAGGGGATGGGGAGGAGGCCGGAGAAGCAGCCACAAGCAGCCGCTGGCTGAGCTTTTGGAGGTAATTGCTCCTGCCTGCGTAGCGGCTGTGGTAGAGCCTGCAGGTAGCTGGCTTGCCTCCTTACTAACCAAGCCCCAGTGTTATTGGGTACAGTTGACCGGACAGAAGAGATTTCCTACTGTCTGTAGCACTCCAGGACAGGTAGTTGTGGAATGTGAGTGGGTGGTGTTGGGAGGGACTTGCAGGAAGGATACTTTGAAGGGGGATTCAGCTAGCAGACGGAGTACCCTTCCTTCATCCTTTCCCTTCTTCCTGCCTGGAACTCGGACGTGATGGCTGGAGCTAAGGCAGCCATCTTGAGAGCATGAAGAAAAGATGCATTTCCTAAAGATGGAGAGCAGAAAACTAGAAGGAACATGGTCTTTATTGACATGGCCCTGGATTACTTATAGTCAGCATTTCGTAGAGGAAAATAAACGATCTTGTTGAAGCTACTGCTATTTGAGTTTTTTGGTAGGTGCAGCCAGACCAACCCCTGTACCCACTTTACATTCAGGAGTTTTTGTGCACGTTGTTAGGCAGCATCCCCACTCGAAGTCTGAGAAAAGCAAGGGTCAGAAGTAACGTGTTAGCCCTGGTGCTGCCAATAGAACGGTCCTGGGGTGGTTTCATACCGTCTTTCTGCATCTCTGTACCTTGAGGCTAGCCTCCTTGTGGGCCACCTGCCTGCCTGTCCGGCTGCCCTAGAGCTGGGCCCTATCAGGTGCAGCTCCCAGTGAGCCCTTAGCCACCGTTCAGGTGATTTGTCTCTGTCCTTCCTTCTGCCCCAGACCAGACAGGGGCAGAGGGAGCCTGTGCCTCTCCGCGTCCTCTGGGCACAGCCACACAAGTCTGCTCAGCGGCTCACTGCTTGGAGCCCTCGCTGCCTACGTCGCCACGACAGGAGTGCTCTCCGCCCTCCTTCCACCATGGTCTGCTTGGGCCTAAAACCCATGGGAAACGAGGGGCTCCGAGGCCCGCTCTCTCCTCAGAGTGGCCACACAGAAGGGATCAGCTGTGGCTAGGAGACCGCCGCGTGCATGATGGAGCGCGTCAGGACGGCGGCAGATGCCCCTGGCCGAGGAGAGGGGCGGCCCCTGGGTGCCCAGCAGGTGGGGGCTGGTGTCATCTGCCCTTGCTACGTAAACTTCTCTGC